ATCTTTAAAATTTACACTTAATCTATTAATAAAGTTTATTGGAGCAAGACTCCGTTGGATATAAAAAAAAAAAAAATTATGACAAAGCATTTTAATATTATACTTGCCTTTTCAACTTCTGAGTATAATGTCATATGATCTGATAATTTAATTTTTTTATCTATTGCCTAATTTATAATAAAATTAGATAATTATGTATTGAATAAAATAAGACTGTTTATTTTAATTTTTATTGAGAAAAGGAATTTCAATTACTGACATTCTGACATTTGAATTAACATTTATTATATACGAATTTTGGTCATTTATATGGCATTGAATAACAATTGGCAAAAGTCATAATCTTAACTATTATTATTCATGAATATTATTATTATTTAATTGATCTTGAAACTGTTAATTATCTAGTTTCATACCTTGATAAGCCCATGTGGGATTGAGTTAAATCACATTATTAGTGACCAATAAGATGATAGGTCTATTTATAAATAAGTCATGTGATTTGCCTCAAAATGAGTATGATCAATTTTTTTGTATCATTACGGAAATTACAGTCCGTGTACTTACATACTTTTATTTTATTTTTGTATTTTTTGTGTTTAAAAATATTCATATTTATTTAATTATTTTATTTCATTATTCTCGGCTTTTCTTATTGCTCAAATATATATACAGTATATATAACTCATATGGTTTAACGTAAATAATTTCCTCGGATATATATTTCAATAATTAATAATAAATAAATAATTTAAATGATATCTATTAACTATTATTAAAAATATTATCCACGGTAATTTTGTAATTTCAAATTATAGTCTTATTTCTAAATAAATTAATAAAAAATATATCATATATAGGAATCTATTAATTTAAATTATATTATATTAACTTCAAATTAAATAGGAAATGGCTACTCAAAAAATTGAATGGAATGAGAAATTAACCAGTGTTTGGAATAAAACATGTTATTCTCTAGACACCAATGTTCATAAAACACTTGCCGAAGGAGAAGAATATCGAGAAAATATGATTAAAAATGATTTATCTCTTACTAAAAATGAAAAGAATTTTTTACTTGATCAATTAAAGAGTATATATGATATAAGAAGAATTAGTAATAGTTCTGCAGTAAAACAACAATGCAACGATTGTCAGAATTGGCATCAAGCAATTCGATACTGTGAATTTTGTATTCGTAAATATTTAGAAAATAGTTTTGGAAATTGGACATCTGGAAATAATGAAATTGATAAATTAATTCAAGGATGTCAGCAGAAAACTTTAGCACCTAATTGTGTAATTGAATGGATTGAATACGATAAATTTGAGAATATTGAACATCTGACAGAAGGAGGATGTGCTACAATTTATACAGCAACTTGGAAGGATGGATACTACGTTAATTGGGATTCTGAAAGACAAACATTGAAGAGATCTGGAAGAAAAAAGGTTGTTTTGAAAAGATTGAATAACTCAAACAGTAATAATGTAAATTGGTTTCAAGAAGTAAGTTGATTTATTATTAAACTTATTGTTTTCCGTTTAATATTTTGATAATAAAATTTAAAAAAAATTTATAGGTGACATTAAGTTTCACACTTGATATTTCTTTTACATTTCTTGCTACATTTTTTGGACTAACCAAAGATCCAAACATCCATGAATATATGTTGGTCTTGTTCCATTATGAAAATGATTTAAGACATTTTATAAAAGATATTTATAATTCAATTACATCATTACAAAAATATGATATTATTTACAGAATAGCAATAAGTTTAAATAGAATTCATAGCCAAAATATGGTACATAAGGATTTGCACTCAGGAAACATTTTACATTTTGCATTAGCCGCTGGATTGCATATTAGTGATTTGGGATTGAGTGGGCCAGTTGACAAACCATCAGATAGTATTTATGGGAATCTCCCATACATCGCTCCTGAAGTTTTCTGTGGTGAAATTTATACAACAAAATCAGATATATATAGTATGGGCATATTAATGTGGGAAGTAATGACTGGTGAAACTCCATTTGATGACTATGAACATGATTCGGATTTAATTCTTGATATAGTAAATGGATGTCGACCAAGGATATATGAATATATTCCACGTGAATATGCAACTTTAATGAAACAATGTTGGGATGCTAATCCTGATAATAGACCTGATGTGAAAATAATCATTGAAAAAATGAAAATATTAATAACGTCAATATACAATGAAATGGATAAACAACAAGAACCAATTATTCAATCGCAAAATTTAAAATCAAGAATCAAAAGTTTCTTTAAATCAAAATCGAAAAAAGATAAAAATAATCAAGTAATAAATACACAATTAAGCAAAAATACAAAAAGTAAAATATATAGAATGCAAAATAGTAAAGTATACACATTCAACATTCCAATTAAACCTAGAAATGCCACAGATGGTAAATATATTTTATTTTCACCTTTTCTTATTCGTTTTATTTTATTAATTTATTATTTATTTATTTTAGAAGAACAACTAGGTAAGTTAATTCTAATTTTTGTTCAGATAATTTAGTTCATATTAAATAATATTAATGTTTATATATTTAGCATTCGATTCTAAACAAATTGATTTTGAAATTTCTGAAGGTAAAATTATTTTTATTTTTTAATGATATTATTTATGACTTAATTAATTTATCTACTGTATGATACAATTATAGAAATGCAACAACAATATCTTAAAAGTATTGGGGCTGATAATTCAAATAAATTACGTGGTAATTAGTATGATTCCATTATTAAATTTTTATTTCTAAATTATTCGGAATTTAATTTTATTTTTTTAAATTTTAGATGATCAAGGATTTGGAATTTCAAGTCCTTCGATCTCACAGTTTCATAACTAGATTTTTTTTATATATTTATTTTATTTAAGTATTTTGTTATTAGAACTTTGTATTCTATTATTTAATATTTTTTTATTATCAAATTATTTATTAAATTTAATATTTATATCCTTAATTTTTTTTTTTATTATTTTTTTCCAATTAACGGAGTCTCCTCTTTATTCATAAAGGATAGTCATAATTATTAGTAATCAAAGTTTACTAAATGTGTGAAATTTATAAGCCCAAGTTTTTTTATTTTATTCTTGATAATATATATAAAAATTTGAGCTTAAAGCTAAATTCTAAAAAAAGAATATTTCACAATACTCCAACTTGCCAAAAACATCCGGTCAGATTGTATAATTTTCTACAGGATCACTATAAAGTTTCATAATTAAAACAAGTCATAAGTACAAAACTCCCTGACCTAAACCTAATGTTTATTATTTTACATTTTAATGCAGATCAAAGTATATTAACTCAGGCCCAATTACAAAAGAATATGCTATAATTATGCAATATCGTGATAGAGAGAACATAAGACAAACAGACAAACCATTAAGTAGGAATTCATCATGGCAATGCTTTCGAAAAAAAGTCGATATATGGCACCTGAAGTATTTACATGGAGAACCATCGACACCTGATCAGATATTTATAGTCATGGAATGTTAATTTGGAATTTAGAGAACCTAATTATTGTTCGCGTATTGCACATTTAATTGTATTCGTCCAGGGATTGTGAAGAGTACCTCGGAGGTTTATGTAAATTTAATGAAATCACGTTGGCAAAATGATCCTCTAAAAGACCAACAAAAGAGATTTTTAGCGAATAGTAGAAATCTCTAAGATCTTCAAGAATTAGACAACATCCTGAAGCATATGATATAAATAGACCATTAAATGAACAAATTACTGCGAAATTGCTTCAAGAGATTCCGGAGATGAAGTTTAATATCCAGGTAAAATATTAGTTTTTTAGTTACTCTTTAAAACTTATTAATTTATTATAGATTGTAATTCGGTTTATATTAATGAAAATAATGAAGAATTAGAAACCAATAACTTTAATTTACAATGAAGTGAGATATTTCAATTGTTACTTTTTATACTTATTTATATTTTAAATTTATCGATCGCTGAAAATATTTATATTAAAAAAAAAGGTTCGGGGGAATTTTATTAGTTTGAATTTATAATAATAAGATCATTACTGAATCAAACCAGTTAAATTTCCTGATAAAAAATCTTGCAATAAGATTATTGTGTAAAGTGAAGTATCATTTCATTTGTTATACGTATTTATTTAGAAATTAAAACATATTAAATTAATCAACAATAATAAATAAAATAATAAATAAATTTAAAAACTAAATAATAAAATTAATAAATCAATAAATAAAAATAAATAAAAATAAAAATAAGTCAAATTAAATAAACAATTATAAAAATATTCATTAATAGCTGTTCCAGCTTGAATAAATTTTTAGTTGCTTTTTCATATTTACGTTTTTCAATGATTGTTATTAATTGAAGGAGTTGAATTAAACATATTGTTGAAGGCGTTTAATAAATTCCAAAGCAAAATAATAATGAATGAGATTTAATTGACATGATCATTAAAAGTGATTTGATATTAGGTAGAATTCAAATTCATTTAATAATTCTTTAACTCCATTTATAACGATAATAGGTAAATAAGAGATTCAAAAATTTAATGATAAAGGTGAAAGAAGTAAACTAAATCTTAAATTTGGTGTTTCAGGAATATCTTTAGTATCAATTTCTCCCCTTCCTCCCACACTTAAATCTGAGCCATTTCAATTATTCCATCTTCTTCTGCCGTTACTGATCTATCTTGTTGTTTTCAATTCGATCGTTTTTGCTTAAGGTTAATTGTTGATTCGGAATATGCAGACTGCTCAGATACCATTTAATATGTATGCAAAGAGTCAACATACTCATTGATCTCCTCCATCGTATAAATCAAAAAAAAAATAAGTAAAAGATATAAATTACGGATGAAATTAAAGCATCCATAAATACTGTAGTTTGTTATTTCCAATATTTCCAATATTATTATCAATACTACTACCTATATTTATTATTTTTATTGTTGTTATTTCTATCTCTTTCAATACGGATAAAACTATATGTATCTAAAATTAAAATTTCATTATTCTTATCTGAAGATAAATTTACACTGTTTTCATCTGAAGATGAATCTTCATCATAATCTAAAGGCAAGTCATCATTTTATCTAAAAATTAAACTTTATCACTTTCTTCCAAAGATATAGGTTCATAATTTTTATTTAATAAAACTTCATACTGGATCCAAGTTAATACTTGAGGATGATTTATATTTTTGTTCGTTTTGAATTTTACAATATTGATTTCTTACGGAGCGGATATAGAAATTAATCTTCCATTTGATCTATTTTATTTTTGCATTATATGTAAATAACAACCTTCTTTTGTTTGTAATATGACTTTATTAGACATTATTTGAAAAAAAGAAATAATAGAAATATAATTATATAATCAGTAAAAAAGTTATTTAAACTATGAATTTAGATATTATGTGTAAAAAAGAAGTAATTGAAATATAATATTAAAGATATTAAAAAGTCAATTAAAAAAAAATAAAAGTCAATTTCTAAATATAAAACAATTATTATCACACTTCATTCTTTTGCCTTTCCGCTTATTTATTTTCGTTCACTCTCCTTTCTTTATTCCTTCATCTTTCTTTATTCCTTTATGCAATCTTGATATAAACGTAATTAAATTTATTAAAAATACTTGTACCATAATTTATGCCTAAAAAAAAGAAAAGAAAAAGCATTGCACATACTGACTGTAGTAATGAGTCGACGAAACTATCGTCAAAAATGGTTCAAAATTTGGTAGGAGAATATCAAAAAGTCATTAAAGAGTTAGAGATAAAAGAATTTTCTAATAATACAAAATCAAATGCCAACTCTACTATCTCAACTATTTACGTAGGAAGAAAAGAATAATAAAGAGACAAAAGAGATAGAATAAGATACAGAAAGGTTATTTTCACACATCATAATGAAAGAATATTTACTTATTCCAATACACATTTTTACTGATAATTAAAATTGAATATACGTATACGACTAATTACATTACTACCAATCTCATCCTCATTCCCCATTATCATGATGTAGCGTGGTAAAAAAAAAAAAAGGAATATTATAAGATTCACAAAATAGAAAATATTAATTAAAATTCCTATATACTATTTAATATACCTTCATGATTATACAAATATTAAATTGACTTCTTCAACAAAATATTCTTGTATTTGATATTATTCTTTCTACAATTTTTCATTAAAAAAAAACAAATAAATTAAAAAAAGAAAACAAATTGGATCGAATACATAGTGATTCTTAACATTCTCATTTTTAAATTGAAAAATTTTAATTCATTTGATCGTAACTGTTAATTTACATACTATAATTTTCGATAAAAATTTATTACAGCAGTCTTAACTGTTAAAGAAAATACAATACACAATCAAGGTAAATATTGTATAAAATAAATAATTAATTTTTTTTTGAATTTTTATGGTTTTGACATTTTTATTATTTTTATTATTTTTATTATTTTAATTTTTATTATTTTAATTTTTATTATTTTTATTATACAATAAGTACAATGCGAATAATTTCTAACCTTATTTCTCGTTTATTATAAATATTATTTCCCTCCTAGAAATATGAAAATTCTTAATGTTGCAAATCACATTTAATAAATTTTTATGGACTAAGCATATTTTAAAATTCAAGTCTTCTCCCAAATAGGAAAAAGTTGCATTCTTTTTCCGAAACGGAAATAAGTAATTGTTTTATTAATCCTTCGATTTAATATATTTATATCTATTAAGTATTCTTTGTAGTCATAAAATCCAGAAAATTTCTTTTCATCATGAATTGCAAAGGAAATGTTCAAGTGCATTCTACACTAGATATGATGTAGATATGATAGGGAACTGTAACAGTATAAAAGATTCTGGAAGCTATTAATATTGGTATGTATTCTAATACAATTATTTAATGTAATTATAGGGAAGCTGTTGCTAGATATCCACTCTGAGTATTACCATCATTATTTAAATTTTTAAATATATATTTTAAATATATGTATTTAAGAAGAGATATATTCAATTAATTAAAAAGAAAATGAAATGAATGTTTAAAGAAAATTAGTTTCAATTAATTTAGAACTTTTTCGTAAAGAAAAAGAATCGTTTAGGTAATTATATTATATAAAGGTATAGTAAAAGCTACGGTATCAGATTATGCAATTACCCACCGAAGAATTTATTACATTTATGATCATTACCCGCCGAAGAATTTATTACATTTATGATCGTGCCATCAAAAAATTTAGTGGCGATACTTTCTTATGAAATCAGTATATAAAATTTGCCAATCATTGGTAGCGGGAATAAAATATTTGGAAGGTAAATTTTGAGATATTTCTATTCGTAATGATATCATTTAATGAAAATAATTTGATCATTAATAATCGTTATTTTAATAAAAATAAATTTATAGAGCAATCCAGATAAGCCAACGTTTTATTCTTCTCGCAGCAACTTGGGAATTTAAAACGAATGGCAATATTACAATATATCAGCGAGTTATTTGATTCTTAGATTATCGATTCTTGGATTATTTATTTATTTTAATAATAATAATAATAATAAATTTATATTATTAGCATTGATGCAACGAGGTTTACAGATGATTTCTACTTTAGTTGAACTTTGGAAGGAAAATTTAAATTAGATTATCATATTTTAATAAGATTAAAGCTCGCCGTGCAACAATTTCATTAAATCCAATAAAAGAAAGAAAGAAGTCGAAACGGAACCTAATAATATGGACGATTCGATGATAGAAGAGAATAATAATTATTCTCAACCAGATAATGAAATAATTCCAATAAAGAAAAAAGTAATAATAATCCATTATAATAATAATAATAATAATAATGACGATAATGATGATAATGTTGATGCTGATGCAGATGACGACGATGACGACGATGATGATGATGATGATAATAAGAGTAATAATAAATTAATATTGTGTTCTCAAATGCTATAAAAGGTAAGAATATATATATAAATTGTGCATTCATTTAAAATCAAGCACAATTAATCACATTAATATTTTTTTTAAAGCTATTCCAAATGATTTAAGTTTTCGAAAGGGAATTTATTTGATACTGTATTTACCGTCAATATTCTGATACGCTTTCAATTATTGATTATATTTAGCAAAGTTAAATTGACGACTTTTATTTATGAATTATTCATCTTGGCAGCAATATATATATAGATATATTCATCATTATCATTATTATTTTGTATATTATCGCAAAAGACTTTAGAAATGATATAGAAGCCAGATAATTTTTTGTTGAAAGACACATTTTTTGGTCTTGATATGAATACATTGCTGCTATAAAAAGAATAAGGAATATCGAGGAGTTTGGGAGAAAAGAACTATTATATATGTTTACCGAGTTTCTCAGACGATCAATGCACAAACCTCCAAGGTAAATATATTATTCACTCCTGATTTGATCAAAATTTATTATTATTATTTTATTTATTTTTTTTTTTTTTGACAGCGAAATTATTTGACAAAACTATTACCAAAGACCTACGCTAAAGAATTTAATACAAATATGGCCTCGTCACAAATGCTATGCGAGTGGATTGACAGGAATTTAGTAGATGAATCTGAGGAATCAAAATTCGAAACGATCCTAAAAGTGACGGAACTTTTCCCTCATAGTACTGTACTGATTTGTGGTTAAGTTGAATCAATTTCGGTAGGAATATTTGAGATAATCCACTAGAAATCCTAATCGCACTTCCAAGGATTTATGGAATTCATATGTTTCGTGGATTTTATATAAGTGGGAGATTAGCGAATTTAAAAACAAAAAAAATGGAAGCAATCTTCTTTGTTAGTTTTATATCATCAATCATATTAAATGAAACAATGTTGGGATGCTAATCCTGATAATAGACCTAATTCAAAAACAGTTGATGAAAAAAATAGAATTATTAAAGTTAATATATAAGCAAGAATTAATTATTCAAGCTAATAGATCAACAAAAATCAAAGATTTCTTCAAAAAAAAAGATAAAAATAATCAAGTAATTATAAATAAAGAATTAAGCAAAAATGCAAAAAGTAAAATATGTAGAATGCAAGATAGTAATGTATACACATTCAACATTCCAAATAAAGCTAGAAATGCTACTGATGGTAAATGTATTTATATTTACTCCTTTCTTATTTGTTTTATTTTTTATTGATTATTAATTAACATAGTCTGGGGCTTTTTTGAGGAAAATCGCTCCTTTTTGGGAAAAAAGGAAATGATTTTCCTCAAAATTGCATTTTTGTTTTTTAAAAAATTTTATTTTTCGAAAAAATTTTTTAACATACAAAAATTCAAAATTCAATTTTCGTTTTAATTTCATTTTTTTTTAAAAAAAATTTTGGTTTATTTCAAATTTGAAAAATTTCGTTTTTTTTAAAAATTTTAAAATTTTATTTTTTATACAATTTTTTTTTGCTTTTTAAAAAATTACAATTTCGTTTTTTTTTTTAAAAGTAAATTTTTGGTTTTTTAAATAGTTGGAGCTTTTTTGAGTAAAAACGTTTTTTAAAAAATTTTATTTTTCGAAAAAATTTTTTAATATACAAAAATTCAAAATTCAATTTTAATTTCAAGCCTCAATTAAAAATTTCAATTTTTTCGGAGGCTTGACAAAATTATTTATAAGTTATTAAGTTTAATAACATTAAATAATTTTATTATTTTTTCACACATTTAAATTGGAGACTTGTAACCTTTACCATTAGGTGACCTCATAAGTATAAATTTTTTTAAGAATTTATATTATCAATCTGTACATAATTACTAATATATATTTGAAATCAAAAAAATTTTTTACATTACATAATACAATAAGTGAAGATATGAATTATATTTGAACAATTATGTATTGTATTATATTATTACACATGATTTGTTTATTATTACTAATATTAAATTTGTATTAACTAAAAAAATTTTGATTGTCAAAAAAAATTATACATAAGATGAGAATTATATTGAATAATTAAGTTATTAATCTTCGATTGTAAAAATAATTGTGTGAATGACAAATCTTTTGATAAAAATATAACTATAACTATGATGGAAAAAAATTATGCATAAATTAAATTTAATTTGTTTTACATTATATAATTACATTCAGTATTATGTAATATAAGAAAAAAAATTATGATTGATTAAATTTTTTTATATTACATTAAATAAAATGATTACATAAAACAAATATTATCTAAAATAAAAAATAAGAAAAAATAAACATTGTGCAAAAAAGGTCTCAGTAAAAAACGAAAATACTTAATATTATAAATTTTATTATGTACTAAAAAAATTTATGTATAAACTAAATTGAAATTAAAGATTTTATTTTTTTAACAAGGATTCAATCAAAACTGATCCAAATGTAATTATTGAATATGAAAAATTAAGAGAAAATATAACAATAGTATCAGTGAATTGAATACATTTATAGCATAATATAAAATAAATTCACAAAAAAAAAAACCTATTAATTATTCATTATTAACTGGACACAAAAATCAATGACCTGAATAAACAAAAACACCTCTGTATTTAATTATTTATAATTTCTTGTCCATAAATTTATTAAAATATAAGACTAATAATTAAATAAAAACGCCCTTAACCCTGAACTCTTGTTTTTTCTATAATTCCCACAACGTGGATATTGTGGATAAACATTACGTAATTTGGATTAAAATTTCTGATCAATATCACAAAGTTAATTTTTATTACAAAATTACAGTTCAAATTGGAATCTATTTATATCTTTATTTAGTTACATAGATAATTTTGTACATTCTTTTGGATATGATTAACCTGTATATTTTAAACGGGAATGTTGTCTAACGTGGCACGCATATTCAAAATCATGTTATAATGAATTTAGATTCGAAAAAAAAATTATTCTGAAAAAATGACATTTAATTTTTTAAAAGAGCTATCTCAAGACTTTTCAGAACTTCTTAATGATAAAGAAGAATATAATGTTATTATTGAAGTTGGTCAAGGACAAAATAAAAAAACCTTCACCGCGCACTCAGCTATCTTGCGTTATCGTTCATATTACTTTAATAAAGAATTAATAAATACTGTTCCGAATGATGATAATAATAAAATTATTATTAAATCAAATATTTCTCCTCAAATGTTCGAAACTATTCTCAAGTAAGCCTTTAATTATTTGCATTAATAGTCTATTTCTGTGCGATAAAATATTAAGTTAAATAATTTGAATAATTTATACAGATATGTCTACGGCGGAATTATTGATACGGAAAATATGGATACCAGAACTATGTACGATTTGATGATTCTTGCTAAAGATCTGGAGTTTGAGGAATTATCTATGAAATTAGAAGATCACTTTATTGAATCCAAAGCTTCTTGGTTAAGAACTCATTTTTCCTTCGTTTATCATTCAATTTTTATGCATAACAAATTTCGGAATTTAGAAAAATTTTTTAACGATATTATTGTAAAACATCCAAGTATTATTTTTGAATCCAAAGAATTCACTACTCTTCATGAATCTGCTTTAATCTCAATTTTAAATTGAGATGACTTACAGATGAAAGAATCAGAAATTTGGGATCATGTAATAAAGTGGGGAACTGCACGAAATCCTACTTTACCCGAGAAAATGGAAGAATGGTCTGACGAAAACTTTGCGACTTTAAAAGCAACTCTACAACAATGCTTACCACTTATTCGTTATTTTCACATTTCAAATTCAGGAATTATTGATAAAATTAAACCATATAAAAAAATTCTTGACAATCAATTATGGAAAGATTTGAAACAACATTTTATACTGCCCGATCGACCAATAAAATCCATTATCCTCCCACCGAGATTGGTTTTAAAACAAGAATTACCAGTAAGAATAAATGAACCTGAATTATTTTCAATTATCATTAATGAAGAACAAGAATCTCCTGTTTACCAACAATATTCTAATCCACAACTACAACAACCTTCACAACAACTTCGACGACAACAACAATTTCAACAACTTCGACAGAAACTTCAACAGTGACAACAATTTCGACAACAACAACTTCAACAGCAACAACAATGCCAACAACAATATCAACAACAACAACTTCAACAAGAACAACTTCAACAACAGCAACAACTTCAACAGCGACAATTTCGACAACAGCAACTTCAAAAACTTCAACGACTTCGACAACAACAATCCTTGTGGTAGGAAAAATTTTTGATCATTCAACATGTGACCTCCACAACAACTACACAACTACAATAATCTTCACATTTACTGTACAATAACTACTACAACAACTTCAACAACATTCCCAACATGATCATAACTGATACAATGTATGGATAATGGAACACCAATGGTTAATATTTTTTATATTCTATATTTTTTTCAACGAAGTCTTTCTCCAATAAATTTTATTATATAATATATTTATTGAAACTAACTAAAAATGTTTAATTTTACTGTTCCGACCATCATTGCCCAAGTCAGGCTTAGGAACTAATTGCCAAGACTCCATCAGTTATCTATTGTATCTAAAATTATGGCTTAGCTTATGTTTTGTTCACTTCCCATCTTTTATCATATGGTTTCTATTAATACTATCATTTCATTTTTTCCCTCTCTCTTTTTGATTTCTACATTATTATTATTATTTTCTCTTCCCTTTTCTTTTAATTTTTTCTTTAGTTTTATTTGTAATACTACTTTTTTTTCTTAAATAAACTTTAAAATTGATCATTCCCCCATTATTGTTCTTTATATTTTAATTTGTTGTTCTTTTTTTAACAAAAGCGTGTAAAATAAGCCCTTTAATTAAATCAATTAAATCATATTAAGTTATGTGATTAAATGAACCTATCTCTAATATATCTATACTCCGTTACCATATTTTCACTCTCAGATCCGAATATAGTATCTGAGTTTTTATCGCGTGTCACTAAACATTTTATTAAAAGTTCATAATGTTTCTCAATTGATTTATAATATAATCACAATCATTATTAGCCATTTACATTCAAACATGAATATTGTTTTCTTCAAATTGACCACATAAACACATTTACCTAGGTATCGTGGTCCTCTTTGTCTAATTAATCATTTGTTATTTTACTTGGATGTACTGATTTAAAAGTGATACATCAATCTATATTTTCTGTTTTCCTTCATATAATATTTTTCGAAATTTATTTTGAAACTTCCATTTTTGTTTTCTTATAATTAAACCAAGTTTTAAAGGTCTATTTTATTGGGATATCTAATTCCAAATCGATCTTTTTGATTTCTTTGCATATCGGAGTCTTCTCCTCCCATTAAATGTTCTGTGTCTTCGTTAAAAAAATTCATAAATAAAAGCTAGGATCTCTAAAATCATTAGAAGAATTATGGTATTTTTTGCTTCTTCCATAGTCTGTTTTCCTCTCGATTTATTCAAATTCTATATTGCACACATACTTTCGTTTATATGCTCACATTTTCGGCAGAATTACTATCAATGCTGTTAATATGGTCATCAATTCATTTCTTGTGGGCTATAGAAAATATTTAGGTGAGGAGTATATGGGATTGGGATGGATAATTCTTTGAACATTCAAATTCAAATGTAATAATATTTTTTCCATCTGAATCCGGTGTACACTTAATATTTATCTGTTTTTTAATCTTAATTATAATTCACCAATTATTTCATCTTTAGCAATAATCTATTTATGTGTGTGATATCATTCTTTTTTTGTTAGTTATTTCAGATGTTTTCTTGTTCCATTCATCTGTAAATTCTCTTCTGAATTTATTGGTTCTCAATAATAAGCTAACCAGCGTAATCACTAATCAAAATATCAACAACAGCATTTTCATTAATCTCTACTATATGTGATGACTCCTGAGGAACTCCCACCAAAGAAATCTTCAACGGCATTTGTTTGAAATGATAGCTTTAAGAATAACTACACGAGTCAAAATTGCAACCGTCATCTAAAAAGATAAGTATATGTATAATTACGAAAAATGCAAATATAAACATGTTATAATAAACTAAAATTAACTTTATCAAACAAAACCTTTGGCCACTTAATTCCCCGTAATATCTGGGCACGATCTTACCGAAATTATCCTTCTCAAAAATCGTCTGTGTCTCAAAATCTCTTTCATGAAATTCGAGAGGCACAAACAAACCATTTTGATTTCATTATCCATGTGCTAAAAGGGAAGCACCAACAGCTCACACTATTAATAACTTGCTGTCTTGCTTTTCAGTGTAGTGAGCTAGACCCTCACAATCGTATCAACGCAAGATGAATTTTGTTAAAAACTAACTTTCTCTTAGGTTCACAACACAAAAAATTATGCAATACCAAATACTTAACAGCTTGCATAATAAAAACCATTGCAAGCCAAGCCCATCAGTCAATCTTATGAAAAAAAAAAGATAAAAAAAAAAAATTCACAAACGCACAAAAATGTTATGCAAACGTTAAACTTTAAATATGAAATCCCAAAAAGAATAACACATAAATACGTCATATTTATTACCTAAGAACAAAAAAACACCCCCTCGATACCACAATTGCACTTACAAAGTTACAACACAATCTATTATTATAAAAACTCACACATACTTAATAATCCATCTCATAAAAAAATTACATAATAAAAACACATGAATCGCGAAATATCAGACATTTTTCAATTAGTAAAAATTTCTTTTCCAGTGCCAAAGGCCCAGGTCATAAGATTGTTATTTATTATTGGGATTTTTATCTACCTTTCAATTTTGACCAATTATTATTTATTCAAATCATTAGATATCAGGATATTTACAATTAGGATTATTATTAAGGCATGTAATTTTTATTCATCATCATCATCATCATTATCATCATCATCAGAGAGAGAAGTTCATCGAATTATTGTGTGGTCTACGTAATGGTGCATTAAGTAATAGCTTTAGATAATAAGGATGATTTTATTGCTTTTATTGAAAAATCAAGGTCTTATCTAAAATCACAACATATGGTAATTTATAATAAATATTAATGTAAATCTAATAATTTAGAACATAATTGTAAGAGAGTTACATTAGTAAGTAAATTTATTTTAGAATATATTGTAATTTTTTTTCTTGAAATATTATAATTATTTTATCTTATTTTATTTTGTAAATTATTTATTTTATTATTAATAGACAGATAAAAATAATGAAATAAGTAGTTCATATGAAGAAGTTCAAGAAAAAACATCCAAAAAAAAATGAAAAATCTCATGTACTGTACCAAAAGAATCTCAGTTAGATGAAATGCAAATATTATAGAAATTAGAAACAAATATCAATATAATATTCATAATATCACTTGTTATATTGAAAATAACAAACACCTTCAATTGACACCAGTACGATTAACATTGTGAGCTCAGGATATTGTATAATTGTTTATTATTTATTATATTATTTTAATTACAATTTTTTATATTTTATATTGACCTTTATTACAATTTTATAAATTAGATATGAGGAACCACAACAATTGACATACCTTGTTGACCCTAGTTGTCAAATTTTATTATTACTATATTTTTTATCTTATTTATTTATTATATTATTATTTTATCATCATGTATTAGCCTATAACTATATTTTATTAGTTTGATTTCATATTTTTATTAGTATATATTATATAGGAAACTATTAGTGTAAATCATTTAGAAATTGATACAACTATTAAGTATTACAACTGTAGATCAGAGTGTAATCAACAGTATAATATATAGTGTAATTAATAGTATATTCAATAGTGTATTCAATAGTATAATGAATAGTGTAATAGATAGCATAGTAGAAAGTATAGTTAATGATATATATATTAGCATAATTAATAGTATATACATTAGTATAATCTATAGTGTAATTTATTATAACCTCAATTATATATATATAAAAGGTTAAATTTCTCTTTACTCAGTTCTCAGTTCAATTGAGTTCAGTTCAGTTCCAGTTCTTGTTAATAAAAATATTTTGTGATTTGTCTTATAAATAATACTTGTATAAATTATTATTTACTGTTAAAATTTCTTAATAAAACTCTATATTATTCCTTGGTAAAATACTGAAACCCTTGTTGATTTATACCTTGCTTTGTGATCTTGGTATACTGTTTTTGTGTTATAATTCTTTACTTAGTGTTAAGAATTATCAGTTTAATTTAGTTTAGTTATATTCTTTGTGAATAGTTTAGTTAAACCCTTATTGTAACGAATCTACTAATTTGTTTTAGAAAATAAATATCAACAAATATTTATTAGCCAAGTTTGTGGTTTATAATTAAATTATTTTACAAGACTTGCTTGTTCTTTATTAATCATATGTTATATTTATATAAAA